AGGGCCCGCGCCCCGCTCAGAGGCAGAAAAAATGAAATTTTTTTTTTTTCATTTTGTTATTTTGAAAGATTTAAAGGTTAAGAATGATTGCTTTTAGGTTCAAATGAACCCTAAACCCACAAGAAGCCCCTTTAGAATAAACAAAAACCTTCGAAAAACTACATTTCATTGGATCGATCATCGAATCATTGAAGTTTTTCTCAAAGTTTTGGAGTTCAAGTAACCAAAGTAAGTGCATTTTTTAGATTGCTTGCTTTATTTTGAGATATCTTCTTCAGGAGTTAGTCGGAGTGGAGATCCGGGTTGGAAATATGGATACAACCCGAATCCAAATGACAAAAATCACGTTAGATGCAATTTTTAAGAAAAAGATACAAAAAGAGGCATAAACCGGTTTAAGAAACATCTTGCCGGTATTAAAAGGGGATGTCGCCCCTTGTAAAAATGTTCCTGAAGCTGTCAGAGAGGAGATTAAGCAATTTTTAAGTTATGTAAAACAAAAACAAGAACAAAATCCTTGTCATAGATCTATTTCTGCTACTCCTAGAAAAAGTGATCCGGGTTGGAAATATAGATATAACCTAAAACCAAATGATAAAAATTGTATAAGGCGTAATTTTTGTAAAAAAGATACCAATGGGTGTATTAGCCGATTCACAAAACACCTTACTGATGTTAGAGGTAATGTTGCTTCTTGTACAAAGGTTCCTGAAGAAGTTCGAGATGAGATTAGACATCTTTTGAATTTTGAAGAACCAAAAAAAGATGAAAATAAACCTTGTTCTATGGAAGTATCTTCTCCAGCTTCTAGTCGTCGGAGTGGTGATCCGGGTTGGAAATATGGTTATATCCCGAATCCAATTGATAAAATCGTATTAAATGTAATTATTGTGGAAAAGATACTAATGGGGGCATTTATCGGTTTAAAAAATACCTTGCCCGTATTACGGGGGATATTGCCCCATGTAAAAATGTTCCTGAGGCTACCAAGGAGGAAATTATACAATATTTGAATTCAGAGAAGCACAAAAAGAAAGGTACAGCAGTCAAGACTCCTAAGGCCTCATCTGCACAGACTACACATACTAGTAAGAGGAAGGTAGAAGAAGAGGAGGAAGAGGCAGATTCAGAAAAAATAGAGGATGAACGTTGTATTGAAGAGAGAGATGACTCTGATGATGATGGCCTCCCCTATGATTCATATGATGAGGCTTGCGCTATTGATATTCCTTTTGATGATGATGATGGTGATTGAAGACTCTTGCCTCTTGGAGCCGAGTGTTGAGTGTTGAGTTTGTTGACTGTTGACTTTTGTTAGACCGTATATTTTCTAAATTTCTGTATATTTCTGTTGTGTTGGGTGTTGACTTTTATATCACTTATATATAGTTTTACAGTTTACTGTTTTAACAATATGGATTATCAAAATTCTCTTCTCGACTTCTATTTTTTTATTTTATTTTATTTTTTTTTCAAGTTGGATTGTTGGAATATGGTATATTGGGACAATGGGATTTTTATTTTTTTTCAACTAGGCAGCCGCCCAAGTTTTGGGCCCCCTCCTAGGCGCTAGGTGGCTTGGACCCCCCAGGCCGCCTAGGACCCGTCTAGCGTTTTTTGATACACTGCTAAATTGATCTAAGAAGTGGGTACCACCAAATTTGAATTAATCCAAATGATGAATGGAAAACCGCATTCAAGACTCGTAAGGGTCTATATGTGTGGTATGTCATGCCATTCGGTCTTATCAATGCTCCTAGCACTTTCATGCATATGAAGATCAGGTTCTTCATCCATTCATTGGTTAGATGATATGTTGGATATGCTGGGGGGTGCCCAAGTGTTTTCAAAAATTGATCTAAGAAGTGGCTACTACCAAATTCGAATTAAGCTGGATGATGATTGGAAAATCGCATTCAAGACTTGTGATGGTCTATATGAGTGGCTTGTCATGCCATTCAGTCTTACTAATGCTCCTGGCACTTTCATGCATATGAAGATCAGGTTCTTCTTCCATGCATTGGAAAATTCGTTGTTGTTTATTTTGATGAGATATGCTTGTGTATAGTCCTGACCCAAAAGAGCATATTGAGCACTTAAGGGCTGTGTTAATCTCCCTAAGGAGTGAAAAGCTTTACATTCATCTTAAAAAGTGCTCTTTCTTGACAGATTGCCTGGTTTTCTTAAGCTTTATTTTGTCCTCTACAGTGTAGAGGGTGGATAAAAGTAATGTAAGGCTATCCAAGAATGGCCTACACCTCAAAGCATCCATGATGTGCGAAATTTTCATGGATTGGCTTCATTTTATCAGAGATTTATCAAGAATTTCAGCACCATCTCAACGCTCTTGACTAAAGGAAGCATGAAGAAGGGAGGATTTTAATCATCTGCCTAGAAGAGCTTTTGACTTTGATTGGCGTTTGAGTTAGACTATGGTGCATCAAAAGTTGGTGTTGGTGGAGTACTCAGCCAAGAAGGGCATCCAATAGCATTTTTTAGTGATAAACTCAAAGAGGATAGGCGGAATTACTCAACATATGATTTGGAATTCTATGACATGGTGCAGGCCCTACAGCATTGGCGACACTATCTCATTCAAAAAGAGTTCATCTTGAACTCATACCATGAGGCACTCAAGTACATCAATAATCAAAGTAGCATTAGTCAAAGGCATTTTAAGTGGGTGGCTTTCTTGTAAGAATTCCGTTTTGTGTTAAAGCACAAAAAAGGGTGACTTAATCAAGTGGCGGATGCACTTAGTAAATGTGCGATGCTGCTAAACTCTATGAGTGCATGTGTCCTTGGCTTTGAGGAAATAAAAGGGCTATATGAAGACCCAGATTTGGAGAAGTTTGGAGGTCATGTATAGAAGGCAAGCAAAGGAGCATCCAACTCCATGATGGATTCCTCTTTCGAGGCGATTGTGTATACCCAAATGCTCTCTACAAGAGGGCATCATCAAGGAGCTGAATGCCAGCAGTTGGGTGGGCACTTTGGTCGTCACAAAACCATTGCCTTGGTGGAGAAGTATTATTGGCCAAGAATTCATTGAGATGTGAATCACTATGTGAGGTGATGCCAAATTTGCCAAGTTTCAATAGGTCGCACTCAAAATACAGGACTCTACATTCCCTTACGAATTCCAAAATATACATGGGAGGATGTAGGCATAGATTTTGTGCTTGGTTTACCAAGGACCCAAAGAGGCATGGATTCAATTTTTGTGGTTCTTGAGCGGTTCGCTAAAATGGCCTATTTTATCCCATGCAAGAAAACCATGGATGCCTCATATATTGCTAATCTCTACTTCCAAGAAGTAGTTAAGCATCATGGCATTCCCAAATCGATTAAATCGGACCGTGACACCAAATTTCTCAGCCATTTTTGGAGAGCCTTATGGAAAAGACATGGAACTGATTTACACTACAACATTACATATCATCCACAAACAGATGGTCAAACTGAAGTTGTGAATTAGACATTGGATAGAGACCAAAACAATAGGATTTAGTACATCCTCAAGCTGAGTTTGCTTACAACTCAATGGTGAATTGATCGACTGGAAAGAGTGCCTTTGAGGTGGTTTATGGACACATTCCTTGTCACAACCTCGATCTTGTTCCTTTGCCAGATTCAGCCCAACCAAACATAGCATTCGAGGACCTTGCTGAATATATAACAAAAGTCCATAAAGATGTTCACCAAAGGCTTGAAGCAAGTAATGCAAAGTACAAAGAAATTGTTGATACTCATCGCTGCAAAAAGGTCTTCAATAAAGGAGATTTTGGGTGGGCATACCTAAAGAAAGTAAGATGATTTCCAGCAAGAGCCTACCACAAGCTCAAAGAAAAGAAGGTTGAACCATGTCACATTGAGCGGATCAACAATAACTCCTAGAAGATTGAACTTCCACAGCATATCCAAACTCACCCCACCTTCAATATGCAATATCTCACCAAGTATTATGGTATTTCGAATACAAACTCGGAGCGAATGGGGGAAAACAGTCCCAATGAAAGTTAATTTCCAAAACTGGGCATGGGAATATACTTGTGAGTTTTTTGGTAGAAAATTGGGTAGCTTTTAAAGAGCATAGAAAATGTGAAAACAAGTATAAGGTGTGCCATTTTGAACTCAGATTATCTTTTAAACATACAGCAGTTTACTTGTAGCTTTTGGTAGAGCTTGGTTCCCACCCATTTTATCTCTGTGTGTTTCTCTTAGTAAGTTGTACCTCCATAGTTTTTGCCGCATCAAAAATCAATCCTCATATTTTGTTTAGGATATATACATATATATATATATATATATATATATATATATATATATATATATATATATATAGACGACGTACGTACTACTACTACTACTACTACTACACTACTACTTACTACTACGTACGTGTGTAGTAGTAGAGTACTACTACTTACGTAGTTACGTT